AGCTGCCGCTTTTGTGCATGCCAACGCTCCAATACAATTACGCTCATTTGCTCCTGCTGCTCCTACGTATCCGGCACCACTCTACCGCGCATTCGGTTTCACTTACGGACAGCCATTGGTTTACGCTACAGCTGAATTTAAGAAGTAAACAAACGTTTGTGTTTTTGTTTATTGGCGAATTATTTTTGTGAACATTTCAGCTAAATCCTTAATTGATTTCCTGGAGAATTATTGCTTAATTATTGGCAGCAATGCTGGCTGACACTTTGTAATGAAATAAATCGGAAATTCTGTAAATAAAATTCCTACTTACTTGTAATGATTTTGTCTTACTTATATTTGCCTTTGCTCACCTTGGCGACTATTTTTGGGCTACGGCATAATTGAGTATTCGCATTCGTCGATCGCATCAATGTAAAACAGCAACAAGCTGCAGTTGTTTGTTTTCAGGAAGATTTTTTGAGAAAAAGGAAATTCCTAGTAAATAGGGCTACATATAGAAATCATTGATTGCAATCTCTCTTATCGTGGAATATTTCGGCCGACAACTGTGATACGCTATATCAATAGTTACTCATTTATGAGGATCAAAATAATTTACCTTGTAAGTAAGTAAATACATATATTTTACGTCAGTATATGTAAATAAAGCGCCTCCTATGTATGCACTAGAAATGTGTGTATACATACATACATACAGTGGCGGTCAAAAATGGATGAATGATTTTTAGTTTTTAATATTTACAATGTTTTCCAAGCTATACCTGCGTACCTGCCCATGAGCCCCCATTAAGTTTGTCGTTGATAGAATTTATAATATTGGTACCCAAAAAGTTTCGGCCTAGACATTAGGCTAGTGAGGCGTATTCTTGTTTTCGTACGAATTGCAAATTATGAATTTTCCTTTCATTTTCTATGAAAAAAAAAACAAGGTACGGCCTAGTACAAGGCGAGTTTATATAAGATGGTAGTGGTAAGTGAAATAAGAAATTTTGATAGTAGAAGATCCGAATAAGGCACGACGACCTTGACCCATCGTTTAAATGGATGAAATCTATTTTGTATGGAATTTAACGTGTTAGGAAATATTTCGTGAGTGCGTTGACTGAAAAAATCCTAGCCAAGATATATTTAATTAAATATTTAAAAATTATTATTTTTTTTTTTGTTTTTAATTTTGCACTCATTTGTTGGTTTGAACAATTACATGTATGCAAAGTGAAGACATAAAGCCTACTAAAAGTGTTAAACAGATGAGTGAAAATTACTAGTATTACTTACCTGTTCGTACGTGCCAACCCGATAGGTAGGCCCTAAAAAAAATAGATGTTTTCACATTCGCATTATACAGTGCAAAATGAAAAAAATAATAATTTTTGAATATTTAATTAAGGTCAGGATTTTTTCAGCCCAACCCACTCGCGAAATACACATTAAATTTCATACAAAATTGCTTTCATCCATTAAAACGATGGCTAAAGGTCGTTCCTTAATCGGATTTTAGACTATGATATTTATGTATCGAGACTAATCAATTCAGCTGTTCCAGTAACATCATCGTATATGAATTAACCTTGGTCCAGTATTGAAATAAAGATAAAATATGTTTATAATGAAATTGATAAATGACAATACATACATACATATGTAAATATGTAATGGCTTATTTCATAATTCGTAATACCAACTAATAAGTTACATATCTATTACCTTACGCCCGTTGTATCATCTTCAACGAAATGATAACAAAATATGTATGCTGAATCATTCATGTGACAAGTGAAAATATCCTATAGAAATGAAATATAAAGACATCGATATTGCCGTCGTAGCTCATACGCCTAAGTGGCCCAACCATTCTTGAGTTTACCGCTGTCAATTCCTGCGGTTGTCGCTAATGGCGCTAAGAAGTGGAAGAAAATAATGTATGTAGACAGCTGTTGCTATAGCTTAGACTGGCAACAATGCCGGCGTCGAGACATCAATAATAAATGCAATAAATGAGGTATTAAATATACAGCATCAATAGTTGAGAAATATTTTTATGTGCAAGTGTGTACATTAGGGCGGGTTGATTTGTATGGATGAAAAAAAAAATTGAAAATCGTATAGGGAAAACGTAATCTACATTAAATTCTAAGAAAATTCTCTGAAGAAACCATGGGTCTAAAATCAAACCCTAATCCGCGCCTCTCGACTTGAAAATTTTTTACCTGGGTGAATATTTTTTTTAGTGAAAAAAAATTTTGAGTGTAGAAAAAATATTAAGTGCAAAAGAACTACCTTACTAAACAATTTTATTCAGAAAATTCGATTTCTTTTTGGAAAAACCAATTTTTTCTAACATTTATTTTTTTTGGCAAAGGCGGCCATATAAATTTTCAAGTCGAGAGGCGCGGATTAGGATTTTATTTTAGATACATGGTTTCTTCGGAGAATTTTCTTAGAATTTTATGTAGTTTACGTTTTTGCTATACGATTACAAAAAAAAAAAATTAACCCGCCCTAGTGTACATACTTATGTATGTACGTTATGCAATAGAAAAATGTACATACCTACATACATACATATCTACATACTTATATCCCCTTTGCAAAAATTGGAACACGTATCAAATATTTTTTTTCCCGAATATCATTTTCTTGCATTCGTAATAAGAAAAATGCATTTCATTTGAGTATTCCTTTTCATTGTTGCAGATTTCTTTTTGGAAAAAGCATAAATTTACCACGCGCTCAGACAAATCAGACCAAAATTTTGCTTTCAAATGCATACATATTTATGTGCATATGTAAGTATGTACCAAAATAGCTCTACTAGACATTTTGAAATATAACCGTTGGTGTGTTCATTAGGAGGCTTTTCGTTGTAAATGATGTAAATATTTCGGTGACTTAATATGCTATTCTCAGCAATATTTGATCTAATAGCCCATTTTGATTTTCTTATTAACTTGTGATTCTTATTTCTATTGGAGTTTGCTGGCAAAATGATTCACGACAGAATTTCGAAAGTTACTGAAAATAATTAAATCGATTTAAAGGAAATTGGCCAAAAAAGATTATTTTGCATCCAATTCAAGCAGCTCACGGCTTCCAGTGTTTTTAACAAGTATTTTCTGGGTAACAGCCGTCTGGAAGTGAGCTAAGGTGAGAAGGCAGACCCCCAGCAGTCGGGTGTCTGCTGGGCTAGGGGCCCGCCACATACATATGTAAAAAACAGTCCACAATTAAATCGGATGAGACATCCTTATTTTAAGGACGACCGCGGCGAACGAACCAAGGATTACCATTTGAGGGCACCTAGAATGTCGAGAGGCTTTATGGGAAGGGGAGAGACCCTGTCGTCAAGCAAAGGATCTTTGTTCATATCGTCGGAAAATTCAGCCTCGACCACGAGACGTCCGATAACGGACTGAGGCTGATCGTCATCGCTTCAGGCATAAGAGAATCCATCAGACTATATGGCTCTCTCAAGATCGAAAAACGAGAAACCGAATCGATCATGTTGTGATAGACGCCATTCGGACTACTATCTTTTTGCAGCCAAGAGAACCATACGCCCCTTTCCAGCAAAAAATGTGCGTCCAGCAGTGCAAGGAAAGCTCAACGTCGAAAAGCTGAAATCACAACAGACGGCAAATTTATTCGTCACTTGACTCTCACAGCTGTTCTTAGAAACAACTTGCAAAATAGTCAACTACAAGACAAATATGAATATAAGGGTGGGCCTAAAATCGGAAAATAAAAATACCAAATGACTTAAAACAGAAATATTTACAAAACGTAAAGAAAAACGACAACAAGCGACCAATAATGCCAAAAACAAAACTTCATTTGTACATAGGCGCACCCCCGCTTGGGGTCCTACTTAATGGTTATGAACCTACTCGCACTACGGCCCGAGCTGATGGGGTTATCTTTAACCCGTCAGATGGCAGGGCTCTGGATGCGGAATGCTAAAAGGATAAGTGAGGGTACTACTGCGGGGCTATGCCAGCCAAGACCGATACCGACACTACCGATCCGATTCTCGCTTTGACTTCCGCCACTCCTAAATTCGCCTGCTCGACTGCAGGTTGATTGTCTCAACTAGCAGTCTAATAAATTGGAGTGTAAAGACCTGTAGTACCTCGCTTGGTACAAAATCGCACAAATCGCTCGGAAATTATAATTTTAAAATCTTGTTAACGTGCATAATAGGAATGTTTCCCAATGCACTGCTCCTTTTGCTTCTTCTTCTTTGGAGCCTCTCTGCGGTGGACACGATAGGCGGGGAAAGACTTAGCTTTTGAGCTCTTCGATTCATATACTCTGGAGATGGACGGTTAACTATTTAAGAAAATTTTAAGTACTCACAAACTGATTCCAGTTGCATAGAAATTGTTGCCTTTGCTCTAATTGCCGGATAGCCGATGATTTTGCTGAGTTTTAATCTGGAAAGCTGAGAGATATGACGAATATTTAATATGGAATATGTATACTTGTACAAATGATCATTGCATGTGTTGATGAGTATCAAATTTCAATATAAAAATTATATCATTGTTGTTACAGCATATTAGTAACTCACAAACAAACAATGCGTAATCACCCATCCTATCAATCATAAATCAAGTGGCCAATGGTGCGATGAAAAACTAGAAATTTATTCTATTAAATTGCATACTCGTACGAACCTAAGCGAAATATAAGATGACAATTGTCGCAGAATCACTCACCTGCAACGGCATTTGATAAGTATAAAAGCTTCCTGAAACTAAGGCCCGAGCATCAGTAAGAAACTGGTATTTTCTTAAGCAAACATTTTGAAAGATTGTGCGAAATAACAATGTTCAAATTGGTGAGCCTTAACTAACACCACACTAAGTGCTCTTGCTTATTCACATTTCAACTCATAAATCTTCATCCGCAGTTGCCACTTCTACTCGCTTGCATTGTGTGCAGTGTAGCCTCACCAGCGCCGGACGGTCTTTACAACATAATCAGCAGCAGCAGCAGCAGCAGCAGCAACTCGCTTATTAAGCCTTATCGGAAAATATCCTTGACGGCTAAGGCTCAAACACCACAGCAGCTACTATCGAACGCCGTCACATCGGGGGAGGAGGAAGATAGCAACGACGTTGCGAGTAACGCCGACGACCAGGAGTCAGGTGCGCCAGCATCAGTAACAGCCGTAGCCACCGCTGCACCGGCGACGGGTTCTGCATCCTCACCCCTAACTCGCATTACGGCTATCGCCTCTGTGGGACCAGCTGTGGCATCCGCCTCAGCATCGCGCTCGGCATTACGTGTCTCTTCTTCGTTTAAATTGCCATCCAGCAGCAGCTCCAGCGCAACCATACAACATCACATCTTACCCGCCGAGACTATACCGCTACCCATTACCATCTCAACACGGCCAGGCTTGCGTACTGTCATCGCTCCGGAGACCATTACTATTCGCGAGTCGACCCTTGCTAAGGTGGGTGAAGTGGTGCAGAAAATACCGACAGCCGTGTCGCATCAGAGTCAGACGGTGGTGCATAAGCATGCGCGTGTGGTCACGCCCATTGTGGCACCCGCAGTGCGTACAATCACGTCGCAAGTGTTGCGCGCCTATCACACCCCGCTCATCCTTGCACCACAAACATCCGTTGTGCGTGCGGACAACGTCAACGTCAACAGCAACAGCAACGCCAAATCCAGTGCAAGTGCAAGTGCAAGCGCAAGTGCAAGCATCGTCTCGAGTGCAAACAATGCCTAGAGCTGTGCCAACAAAAAATACAAACTCTGAGGCAAGAGATGCTCTAATTGCTGATCTAGCTATTATTTACTTTAGAATCTTTTGAAACTGCTAACTGTGTTCCAGGCTGATACTTTACAAATAAGAAATTTATTTAAATATTTAAAATCGAAATTAAGGTAATTGTATTGTGGTTTGTAATTTTTTGTTATTTCGCTTGTGATTTTTAGACTTTGGATGCAACTTTTTTGGAATAAAAAATTAAACTCTACAAAGATTGTTGTTTGAAGTGACACATTACTGGCTGAAATTTGGAGCGTACTTGTAAATATGGATATCGATGTCTTTGACATAGTGACTAAGTTGCGTCTTAAAGTACATAGATCCAACCCTTTTTATTACAGAATCTGGCCAAAGAGGTCGGGTCACACATCCTTCGAGGAAAATTCTAAACATTCTGTATAATCTTACGCAGGGGTACCGAATCTTAGTCACAAAGTGGTCTGCAAGTTGCGGACTTGCTGCATACTTGATGTCTGAAACCATAATCAAGCCGATTATTTTGAGTGTGGTGCGATTCACTAAAGAAGTCTGTATTATTTAGTTATGTGGGGAAAGCGCCCACAAGGGGCCCTCCTTGTTGGAATCAGCGAGGTGCTTTGGTCTACTCCTATTATTGTTGTACTCGTACACATTTCGGGTAGGGCTTTCGCAGTTGCTCCGCCATTTAGCTACGAAGCACTGGTTTCTCCTTCAACGCCTCGCCTGAGAAATCTTTGTGCCTGAAAAAAAGAACACGGGTCCTTCTCTACGGACATTGCGCTAAGGGGTGAATGGCACAGTGGCAGACTCTTGAACAGAGGTTCAGTAAACATATTAACGTTCTGTCAGAAACTCTCCGTTCATCTCAAGCTTAGGCTTACGAATTTATTCTGCGTCTTTGAAACAAAACTGTAATAATGATTGGAAGGGAAAATATTTATTCCGACAGCCAATTGCCATTCAGTCACGATCGTTTAAAGCTCAATCCGTCGAATAAGGCCTGACTTCTCCCTGGGTCGTCTGGGAATACTTCAAAATCAGGCTACTGTGGGATTTATTGCATAGTGGCATTGCAAGATACTGCAAAATTTCTAATGAATTGGACTACGAAAGTATGTATATGAGTTTCCGTGGAAACCTGTGAACTGATTCTGAAGCTTAACATTTGAAAGCATGTATACGTAGTCGGCAGTGGTATGCTAGTATTTGTTAGCTTTTAGAAGGTGCCGGATTCGAATGCCCTCAGGTGCTGCCTTATTTTATGTTTTTTATTCGAACCATGAAAAAGCATCTGTGAAGTGCAGAAGGAAATCGTATTGAACAAAAAATTCAATAAGACAAATTTCAGAAAAACAGCCAAAAACGTATCAATTTCAAAACAATTTTCCGTTACATACGTTTCTGCCGCACACTTTAGTGGGAAAACGAATCGTCAAAGTACTCGAAAATGGAATCGGTCGATAAATGGACAATAATTCGCATTTCATCCACTTGTTTCCATTTTCGGATCGATTTTCGGGTTTTTTGCTGGCTGGGTTAATATTTGCCATTTTATTTACAAAACAAAATATAATATGGATATAGAAGTGCTTCCAGAGCATTTAGGGCCAGTGATGACCTACAAGAAGGGGTTCGAAAGTGGAAGTAGAATCTGCTGACTTGCGCTTATTCAAACGACGTCTCCATCACAGTAACCTGCGAGTATCTGTCCATACCCAGTTCACTCATGACTAAAGTTTTGTGAAACATACAACTTTAGGCAGCTAAAATAAAAAAAATAAGATTCCGAACTAGTCTAGACCCAAGCTGGATGGAGTGACTTTCCAGCTGAAGCAAATTATTTCGAAATAATACTTGCAAAGGAGTCAAGCATTGTGTGTAAAATTATGAAAGAAAATTCACAAAGTTTCTTTCATCTCTTAGAGGTAGGACGCTAGGCTGTTGGTTAGTTTTAATAACAGTACGCTGCTTGTAGTCCTCACACGCATTTGAATTGGCTATGACCAATTATGAGATTTGCAGCTGATGTGGAACGAATTCGTAGAATGTGGAACACATTCGCTGTAAATGCCCAGTGCTTAGTAGGCTGTGGATTAGTTTCAAGGTAGCACGTTTTCTGTCAACTCTGGAAGCAGCTAGCAAACGAGGGTTCCGGTTTGCCAAAAGGGACTGTTCCACTATTTCAGAAAGAATCGTACAACCCACGGTTTGAAAACACACATTGTAAAAGACTTCAGGTTTATCACTGTTTTAATTTTCTCTTACACATTACACTTTATCGCACAACAGATAGATTTATATTATTGGAGGTACTTGTATTCCACTTTCCTTGGACTTGGCACGAATTCATCAAAACTAATTTTACGCACTGGCTTAATTTCAGGTAACGTCTGGTAGACCACTGGCCGGGCGGCGAAAGTCAAATGTGCTGGCGTATGCGTCAGTGACTGGATGATTGGCGTATCGCCTTTGAGTGTGACTGTCGCTGCGGTGGCAATATTTTCCACTACTTGCACCGCAGCCGGCGATGCAGGCTTCACAACAGCCGCTGGTATGGTATGCAATGGCTGTGTCGAACTATAGACTGGCGATTGCACCGCGTTGCTAGCCGCCGCTTGTGTTGTAGTGCTGGTGGTGGTGGTGCCAATAGGCTGGGCGGCGGAGGCAGATTGTGTATGCTGGCGGGGGTTACTGATGTGATGTGTGTTGTGCACTCGTGTAAAAGATGTATGCGAAACGGCAGATGGTGCATTATGCACTATAGAGGAGATGTTAATGTCGCCGGCTTTCTGAAAATCACTTGGCGATAGGGCTAAAAGGCCGGCGTGACATGCAGCAATGCAGGCGAAGAAGATCAATAAAAGCTGTAGCGAAAGCGGAAAGAAAGGAGGGGGGGAAGTTTTTATGAATTATTATTTTTCGCAAGATGTTAATTTACCATTTTATTTACCATTTTGTGTATGTTTTGTATATTTTTTTTTGTTTATTCCTCTCCAGTTCAGCGAGACTTATTTGTTCTGCGTATTAAATATTCGAACGTGTTTGACGCGCTGCACAAATCGAGATTAACTTCAATGATGTGCGTAAATTGAATTTATATGTTGCATCGTTTGCTGCAGCCGTGCGTATTTGTGGCTTAGTGCTTTGCTGAATGTGTGTGTGTGTGCTAATGACGTGCCTCGAACTGGAGTGGAGCGCGCGCGTGCAGCAGCCACAAATTTTATGCGGTTGGGAATTTCGCAAATAATGCATATCTACGCGTAGGTATACATACATACTTATACATATGTACATTTTAAATTATCGGTTTTGGGTTTTTCAATTTCAGAGTAGCAACATCATTCGGCGCTTTATGTTTTGCCAATGGTTAAGGTCATCTGCACTCACGAGTTCCCCTCCTCCAAGGGAGATAAAATACTTATAAATCAAATTTTTAACAAATTTATTAGTTGTTAAATTTGGCGGCTCAGTAAATTTGGCAGTAATTGTAAATACCTGTGCAAGCATAAAAATTTAATTGAGTGCCCTGTAGGAAAACCTGCGCTTGCTGAAGAATTTCCTACTAGTCTACTAGTATACAAAAGATTTGACTAGTTGTATGGTATTTTTTTTATATAATGTTTATGTTTTCTTTCGATTTTTTTGATTTTTTTGAAGTGATACATGTTACTGAAGAAGATGCAGAAGCAGATGAAAATGTAGTGGTATCACATACCGTGCTTGCGGGTTAAGTATCGCTTAAGTTCTTAAGTACCATCTGTAAACCATCTATTCGTAATATATGACAATATAAAACAACAAAAAGGAAATATCTAAATCGGCCCTTAAAGCCTGCGATTATAAAAAAGTTTCTAATAAAAATAACTAAGATTTTCCTACTGGGCGCATTTAAGTGCGTATTTCCTTGCCTTTGCGCTGTGGTTGCAATTACCAACACCGTGCCTGCGCTAATTTGATTGCAAGCGATTTTTAGTGGCTTGGCTGACATGTATGTACATTAGGGCGGTCAAAAAAAAACAATTAAAGTTGGAATAATAATGCTCTCACCCAGTAGTTTTGTTCTATATGGGAAAAATATACCCTTGCTTTTTTTATTTTGAATATTTAGAGGTAGCTCAAAACGTTCAAAGTTTTTCATGTATTTTATATGAAGAAAAAAATTTTTTCGTAGAAATGGTAAGGAATTCTTGAAAACCAATATTTTTCGATCGAAAACTGTGGTTCTCTTCAGGAGACTTCCAATAATAATATTCAATTGTTTATTTGACCATTTTTTAATACTAAATATTTTTTATTGGTCTCCTATTGCATTTTTGTGGGTTTAGTTACTATCTCCTTCAGAGAAACAGAGCTTTCCGACAGAAAAATATTGATTTTTTAAAAATTACGTGGAAAGTTTGAGCCCTTCGAGTGATATCTAAATTTTTTTTGATTTCAAAAAAAAAGGGGATATATTTTTTTCGGTATAGAACAATCCCTGGGGGTAAGAACTTAAAATTTCCAGCTTTACTTTTTCTTATGCATTTTTGGACCACCCTAATGCACATACATTCGAACAAAAAAATATATGTACAGGTGTATATGAAAGGGTGGTCCTTAAATTTAGGAACAAATTTGTACATCAGATTTTCTAAGCCTCAACCCCTACGTCCATGCTACTATAGTCGAAGATATCACATATAAATTTTGGTCCCAATTGGAGTCGTTTAAGGCGTGGCGCACAGGGGTGAAAATTCAGATTACCCAATGAAGACGTCTTAGCCGGCTCCAATTGGGACTAAAATTTGTGACCGTCGTATTACCGATTGAAGGGGTGAGACTGAAAAAAATCACTCGCTTAATTTTAAGGACCACCCTAATAAATATACATGAAAATCGCTATATGCGGCTGTACTTAAAACGCTTAGCTACTTTGCTGCTTTGCTGTTGTTGTTGTTGTTATTTAATGTATTTTTAGTGTACGTACTACGTTGTTACGCCCATGTTTGTACATAAATATATTTATACTCGTAGTATATGCGGCTCACTTAGGGCCGCGCTCAACAAGCAGCGTGTTCAGTCAACCTTCACTTATTTATTTTATTTATTTATTTGTTGTTTACTTATTGTACATTTATTTCTACTCTTATAACTTATTTTTATAAGCTTTTTCTTTTTATGTTATTTTACTTCTCGAAAGCCTCTTACGCAATATAAGCTTAGCTTGAGGAAATACATATATAGT